CCCAGGCACTTCCGTATCCAGAACTTTCTGTTTCATTAGCTTGTTATAAGTGCAACATGTACGTATGGAAATTGCGTTGCCATAATTTCCATGACGACAAGATATAGCTTGAAAAATTGCACAGGAAATACCATCATGGAGCAGATGGAGGATATAACTACTCAGAAACACGTGACAGCAGTGCAGTGATGCTTGTTCAGGCCAAAATCGCAACATTACAATGCCATTGACCTAAAAGAAAATTGCTCAGTCATCAAATAATAATAATACTGAAACGATAGGCCACAAATTTTTCGTATTCGGTATCATTTTCTTCTACCGAATGACCTTGATTTTGATAGAAGTGAAAAGAAAAAAAGCAAATTACATCTGCAACCGTGAACATTATTATGAATTGGTAGAAAAGTTTAGAACAAGAAATACATTTTCGGTAAAGCAAAGGTCACGACCGGATCTTAAGAGTCAATGACAAAAAGAGTGAAAATTAGTGTGGCGCGAGTCTGCCGCTTGGCTGCAAATTCAATCGATGGGATTCTTCAAAAATGAATTTCATAAGATATTCTATAAAACTTCTTTAGATGATTCCAAATTCCACGCTTCGAAACTTTCGCCCAAAAAGAAGAAGGCCAATGGTTTCCATTGTATAACGCCACTAGACCAGCAGATGAAGAAAAGCATAGAAACATTATGTGCTTACTACCATACATACCTCCCGTGTCTTAGGAATCTTTTAAGCATCTTACGAACTCGTAATGATAAAAGCCTATAGAGATAAAAATGGATTCATAATTCATATTCATCATGTCTAATAAAACTCATATAATTGTTTACTGCTTTAAGTCATTTATACGACATTCAGCCAATTTTGAAAATGGTCCAAATCAATTGCAGCTTTAAAAACAACATTTTTAAACGACATTCACACAAAATTGCATATCCAGAATAAATTGCCCTTAATCAAGATTAATAAAAAAATTTTAAATTAAAATGTCGCATAAATGCCGCGGAAAAACATTTTTTAATTTATTTAAATGTAAATCATGAAATATCTCGAAGCAAGAAATGTATGACTTAAATCACTTTCATAATTATGGGTACATAAAAGGGCTTATTTTTTATGAGAATCTTTTGATGAGGTGGTGTCCAAGAACCCTACTTGATTCATATCTTATAGAGATAAGTTTTATATCAAATTACTCTTGTCAGCCAACTTTCATCACAAAATATTAGAAATTAATAAATAAGATTTTTGTCCTATGAAGAAGAATGAAGTTTTAACTTGTGATCCCTTGTATGAATGGAATTAAAAAAATTTACTTGCATGCACTGCCATTACGGAGTAATTTTCACCATGAAATATTGAAAATTAGATCATTTTAATATATGAAGATTCAGTTCTCATAGAAACCGTCACATGGAAAGGGCTTGAAAAAGTTGGCCCATCCGATTCAAATTTTTCACGATAATTTCAAATGCCCAAAACACTATGTTACTATTATTGCAAATTGCAACTATTTTCCTTATAATCGTCTTTTAAAGTGTGGCATTGTGTAGGGATCAAATCACAAAAGCGCGTTCAGTATGCGTTTATCACCGATTGTCTTGGCAGTCTAATAAAACAGCAGTGGAACAAAGTATGGTTATTTTATTCACTTGAATTTAATGCGATTTTTCAGGCTTCCATTCCACAAGCGATAAATAGTCCTTGAGGTGTTCCTATGACCGGTTAACTCCTTCAACTAATGAGAAACTTTTGATAACTAAGAATGTTTTAAGAGTTGCGAACAGATAAAAAGCAGAGACGTCGAGAGCTTACAAAATAAATCGCATACTTTTCATCGCTTACTTTTTTTCCGAATTTTAGATACAACCAACCGTTACAATGGTATTTGAGTTCAAATAATTAGTTGTGCAACGTTATCTCCCCAAGTAGATATGACACTCCAGATAAGCTGTACCTCAAATTGCTAATGTTTTATGTTAAGTACTCGAAGAAATTCAGTATTCGAGTATTGCAGAAAGTATAACCGTTGCCTTCGGTCAAGCCCTACTAGACACCGTCTAAGCGTTTTATTACTTTTAGCCCTTAAAGCGTACGAAGCTTATTTATGTATTAAGAACCATTAAGAACCACCCGGTCTTTACGAAAGGTTCATTCGGATGAGTTTTTGATTCTAATTAAAAAAGTCCCACACCTATCTCTTCAACAGATCGCTTAAGATTTTATATGCAAATTTGCATTCATCCATTATATCCTTCTTGTTGTTGTATCTCAACCTCTAAGTAAAAACGCAGGTCTTCTTCTATAATTTGATGTCGTAAATATATATATATATGTATATATAAAGAGGATAAGCAACAATAATTCATGAATGTAAGACTGGGAACACACATAACAACAACAAAAAAAATATATATGTAAACTTTTAGAATAATTCGACATTTATACTGTGTGCGAATTGTTCGTTGAACTCGTTGCTTATGTAAGACATAGTCCAAAGCGTTTTCAACCTGTTTTCTACTAATGTTTCGTATCAATCACCTGACTCCCTCAACCTGCTAGCCAATCCCTGCTTTGATGTAGGTCAGCTTTCTTCCTTTAACATCATTCCCGGGGTTATCTTCGGAAAATGTCAACCCTGGTATTGACTATTTCTGACTATTCGCATTTAATACAATAAAGACAATAACGTTCAACAGAATTTGCTAAGGTTTGTCAAAAAAATAACTCAGCCTATTATCGTTAATTCCGTTTATTGATTTCCACGTTCTTTCAAATTAATACCATTCGATTATGACAAACCCAGTCTTACGATCCCGCTCGGCAAGTCCTTCTTAAGCTTGTTTTCCCCTATAATGAAGAACTATTAAGAAAATTAAGAAAAAATTTATTCGCTTGTGTTAGGCTTATACGTTTTTACCTTAAATACACGCCATAATGCTCAGTGACTTTCTAAGTTGAAAGATACCCTCAGCACTTTTACAAGAAAAGACATAAGTGTAGACATGAGTAGCATCAATAGAGTTAATTTTAGTTTCATATATAAGCTTTGGTCAAATTAGGACAGCAAAAAGTAGTAAATTCATGTTCTGCTTGGCATGTTTCTCTGTTCTAGTGGGATAATGTATTTTTGCTTTTTTAAAAGATCAACTTTATTTTAATAGGCCTAATAGATATTTTGATACTTTAAGAATATAGGAGTCCCCACTGGGTATAGATACCTAAATTTCTTACTTCTTGATTTCTAAAATACTTCAGTGCAAGTTCAGTTCCTATGCAAAATGAGCATAATTTCAATGTAACGATCGGTATTGGTGTGCGCAAGTTTAATTCATATTCTACAAAGTTTTGGAATATGTGCATATGGTCGTCCAGTCATTTAATCATTATACTACGATAATGTTATGGATCAACATTCATCAGAAATTATTAAAACTTATATCTTATTGCTATGCTATTTAATAGAAGAGAAAGGACAAATAATTATCGCGTCTCATTCAAAATTTTCACATTTCCCCAATCTGTCAACTTTTTCAATGATTTTCGTTGCGAAATACTAAAAATTGATTCATATGTAGAGTGGTCATAAAAAACATGTGGAAAATTGCAAACCTCAGGTCCAATATAAGAGTGCACAAAGAGACGGCAAATGGGCTGGTGTAGTGAAAAATAGGGTTTTCTCAAATTTTGTGTGTTAAATGCATCCGCATAAGCTTAATGTGCCCTTGCCACAAGTAATGTCGGGGTATAAAAGAATACTTCCCTATTCCCCTTTTAGCGAATTGCAAATATCTTATGTCTTAAGCAAATCTATGCAGCTACAATGTACACTTAAGTTAAATATTATTTGAATCTTTTCTTTTCGTTTTGTACCTCAACTCTTCCCAGAGAATATGGCTAAGTCCATATATTATATATATATATATATATATATAGTTCAAGCAAAGTCGGAAGTCACAAACCGGACGACAACATAATATTATTCCAACTATGCAAATGCATTATGGCGTTAGAAAAGCAAAATATTCGAAACTGTCATAGGTCATGTTATTAATATGACAAAAAAAAAAAACCATCAACACAGTTGGAATATCCTCATAAACGCAATAACAGTACGTCGTCGTCGTATTTAAGATGCTGCTATAAGAAATATAAGCTAGAATTAAGTACATGTAATGTAATCTTATCCAACACATCCCTATACTAATGCAATCAGCATTAAAGGTTACATAGTAGCTTTCATAGTGGAGGGATTAGTGCACAAACACTATCAAGCAAATGAAAAAAATATTTCATTTTATAAAATTTTTCGCAAACTGTCAACTAATTTTTACAGCCTAACTTGACTTTTACAGCAACTGAGTGGAGAATCTCTGGCAAGATTTTGTGCTTAAGAGGACTACGAGTAATTTAAGTACACATAGGAACATCGATTTGATTAACTATTTTAAGCCTGTCCAGGACTATTCGCATTTATTATAAATACTTACTTACTAGGATGGGCGTAGTGAAGGCGTCTTAGCAGTTACTTTCTGTATAACACAACTTATGAACTTAAGTTTGTTTAACTTACAGCGAAAAGTTCTTACCTAAAAAATGCTGTTTTAAAACTTCAATATTTTTGTTTAATTGCTATTTTATGTCGGAAGGTATAGTACGTAATAAATATATTTATAAGAAAAAAGCAAACAAACAAACCAACCCATAAAAGAAATAATTTAGACATTTCTTCTATTGCTTAATAAAACGGACCAAAAAAATAGACGACAGCAGCTATATATGCAAAGAGAAGAAAACAAAACATTCTGAAAAAGACTGACTAAGAATTCTATTAATTATAAGTGGAAGAAGAAGTAAGTGTTCACACTAACTAACTAACTAACTGACATCCGAAAATTCGCATAGATACGCAAATGCATTAGAAAAACAAACAATGGTAGATAAAAGAAGTTATCTATAAAGTAAATGAGAAAATTTTCAAATAAAAAGCATTCAAACGACACTTGAACAATTGCAGTGTTTCGTGCAAGGTCAACTTCTTTGGTAGTTTTTTACATAACCGCATTCATTAATAAACGCAATTTTCATGTAGAAAGAAGCAAAAAAACACAAACAAAAGCGAAAAAAGACAAAACAAAAAGGACAAACCTAGAAAAGTAACAAAAAAAAAAAATAAATATAAATATATATATATATATAAAGAAAAATGCAATTTAATACTTTAAATATGATCAACGGTATTGGGCTGTTACTTATTGTGGCCTGTTGTTTATCTGTGGCCGAAAGTACATTTGTGTGTCCTGTTCAGCAAGCGGATGATTCGTTTGCATTGTTATATCCATCGCCTACAAATTGCAGCCAGTTTTACGAATGTGTTCGCGGTGTAGCTCTACTCTACTCTTGCCCCGTAGATTTACACTTTAATAGCCGCCGAAAGGTAAGTGTTTGCACTGTATGCCGGGTCTTGCAGTGCCAGCAGTAACAGCATATGTGAAATCTATGCAAAGATCAATCATGAAAATACATTTAAAATTACATATAATTCGAATTGTAATCCTCCGCAGGTTTGCGATTACCCGCAAAGGGCAAAGTGTCAGTTGCTGCAGCGGACAGCTTAAATGGAAAATTCTCCCAACGCAGCCATTCAAATAAATGACGGCATTATTTGACTTTAAAGGATGATTGCTTCTATCTTCTTTTTCTTCTCCTTTTTTTTTTTTTTTTTCTTATGTCTTTTCTGTTTTCAATATCAATCATCAAATAAATTAATATTATGATAACATTACGAAAATCGTTTACTTTCACTTACTTATCATATAATATATAAAACTGATGATAATACAAAGATCTGAAATTTACATTACTTATGTATGTTAAACGTGGTCTTACATGACACCATTCTAGCGAACTTTCATTGAAAGTTTTCTTCTCGGATGGTAAGCAAAAACACAGTCAAACAATCGGAATCGGAATCGGAATCGAAATCATTTGTCATATTTTCGTTGTTGTTTTCTTCCGACAAATACATTATACATAATTTCAGATCGCCATATATTGTACTCTAGGTCTATAATTTTCGTTAATGTTTCTTGCTTTTTGTGAATTCTGAACATGTATATAACACAATAGTTGTGCAATATTTTTACAAAATTTTACCCCTGCTTGAAACAACATTCCCTTTATGCGCATTTAATGAGAGCATATATACGCTATAGTTTTATCTATGTCAAGTGTCATAAATGCATTAATATGTACTTACGCATAAGACAAAAGACTCTAATGATGGGGATAAAAGTCACTACCGATTTGTAAAAACATTTTATATTTTGCATATAATTCTAAAAAAGACTAAGGCTCTTGAAATATTGACAACATTTTCGTGCGCTGATGGGGTAAAACTCGGTATACGATTACTCTATCAATTATTCATAAGTTTTTTTAGATATTTTTTTTATTTTCATAAATTTTCATTTTTCTTAATCAAATATTCAATTTAGCAAAACTTTTTTTTATCTTAGTCGAAGAATTTATTTCACTCTATTTATTTCACTAATGTAAAAAAACTTAAAATTAAAATAAATAAAAAGTTCACATTTGACCTCGGTCACGGCCCGCATATCTTCGGCATCCCATCCAATTACTTATTGTCATAAACAAGTAAATAAAATAAAATATATCTTTCAACATTTACTTCACTAAAAGTTATGAAAACTCAATCAATTAAACTAATTTAGAATTAACATTAAAGTGATCCACTAGCTCGTGACGTCCCTCATAATTAATTTAGAATCAACACAGTCAGTTTGTCGCTTTCCACTCTCCAAGTCCCGTTATTTGATACCCACATCAACGGTAGTGCAACGAAAAAATTGATCCGCTACCTCGTGACGTCCATCATCATTAATCTGGAATCAACACAGTTAGTTTGTCGCTTTCCACTCTCTAAGTCCCGTTATTTGATACCCATATCAACGGTAGTGCAACGAAAAAATTAATCCACTACCTCGTGACGTCCATCATCATTAATCTGGAATCAACACAGTTAGTTTATCGCTTTCCACTCTCCAAGTCCCTTTATTTGATGCCCATATCAACGGTAGTGCAACGAAAAAATTAATCCA